CATTAACCCATGTTGATCATTAATAATTATATTATGTTCTTTTAATTCTTTATTAAACAGGAGAATGCAGCTGCACACATCCTATGATATTCTATAGAAAAGCCTTAAAGATACATGTGCCTTAATGAGAATTCCAGCCAAGTACAGGATACAAACCATCCATTGTTGTGAGGAAACGGCAGGTGTGTGTTTGTTTTGGCAGACTGAGACTATGGTGCCTATTTTAAGCTGAAATGGACTGTTCCAATCCTGCACATTGTATTGACCACTAACGAGAAACTCCTACCTAGGAGAGTTTGCAAACTAAAATGATGTGCTAAATATATGTATGAAGTACTACTCTTCTCTTGAGCTGCTAAGCCACATTTGTCTACAATGGGAACTCAAAAGCCTCTTAGCCGGATCCCTTTTCCCACACAGAGGAGACTTGCTGTTCCAACTGAAGAGATCCATCTCTCTCCCACTGTGTTCTATTCAGTGTTACTTTCCCAGTTAGCATCTGAAATGGTGCAGCACCATCTGGATGCCTGGAGATTTTTGCAGGCAGGCCTGGGAAATCTGGATAAAGCCTGTATCTCAGGCCAAAATTCTGGGACCAATTATCCTGTCAATAGGATCTGCATGTGTGTAACTGACAAGCTAATTGGGACCTGCTGAGTATATGCTGATTTGGTCTTAGTTTCTATCTCAGCCTTTCTATCTGCCCCATGTCAATCTGTTAACTTGATCGGATTTTCCTGGAATGTGATTGTGTCATCTAGTGCACCAGATGCAGGTTGCAAATCTTACCACCTTAAAATTACAACCTACCTATTCCCCAAGGCTGTCTCTAGACTACACCTCTCTGTTGACAGAGAGATGTAGATTAGGCATGTTGAAATTGCGAATGACGCAGAGATTTAAATATCCCGCACTTCATTAGCATAAACATGGCCACCACTTTTTTTTGAAACTGAGCTTTTTTTAAAAAGAACGGCAGTCTAGACACATATCTGTCGAAAATAAATCCTTTTTCGACAACTCCTGTAAGCCTCATTTTTTGAGGAATACAGGATCTGTCGAAAAAAGGTTTATTTTCGACAGATCCATGTCTAGACTGCCAGGGGGATTTTCTTCGAAAAAGCTCCGTTTCGAATAAAAGCGGCAGCCATATTTATGGTAATGAAGCACAGGATTTTTAAATCCCTGCTTCATTAACAATTTCGATGTGCCTAATCTACATCTCTCTGTCAATAGAGAGGTGTAGTCTAGACATAGCCCAAATGACTACTAGCCAGTGCAGGAGAGCATAACAAGGTGCACGTAGCTTGTGCTACTTCTGAGGCATATTGTATACAATGTGCATGGCCTTCCTAATTGTAGGCATGGCGAGGTCAGACCCAAATCTTTACCTCAGCATGATGCCTTCTAAAAGCAATGTACAAAAAGGAGCACTTCCACTGCCTGACACAGTCCTATGTTGGTTATCAAGATACTTTTGAGAGATCAAAATATTGTTGTTCATAAGCTTTTTCCTACTGCTAATGCATGGCTGCTGACAGACAGAATGAGAGCCAGAGCAAATAAAGAAAGAAAAGAGACTATTACAAAGCAGACAAAAGGGTTTGAGTGCAGAAAAATATAAAAGAGGCCAAAATGAATTTTAAAAAGAAGAAATAAAAACCCCAAAATGAAGTAGGAAGTGAACAAGCTGAGAATTTAAAAAATGGAGCTGGGATATCAAATCATGGTTGTTATTATAGACAGGTATCTTCTGTTTGTCACAGGAACAGAGAATCTTCACTTTTGAAATTGACTGAGCTCACTTTAATTGTACATTAAGCTTCTGACAAGGTGACCCCAAGTGGAAACAGAATACACAATTATTTTTCATTTTTTCTTAATTAATGTAAAATGGCATCCATTTATATTTTGTTTTTCCCCATTAATACTTAAGAAAAAAATCATCTAAATGAATGGACCTTTCTGTCCTTGACTGGATCATCTCCATAATAAGGTAACTTGCCCTTCTATGATTTAATTGTTGATTAATTACGAGCCCCAGGTGTGGAAATATGCACAACCCTTATTAATAGAATCAGAACTGAGGAGTTTAGTGCTGATTCTCTTGATATGGGCTGTGCTAGCTAGTTCTGCATTGTCTGTAATAGGAATGCTGTATTTTTAGTTGATGGGTACCTCTGGCAACTTGTTGATTCAAATATTAATACCTTATATTCTTATGAGGCTGCACTGTCATTTGATCCAACCGTCTTTATGGTTCTAATAGGTATAGGGATTTACTCCCAAGTTCCTTGTGCACCTAATTCAGTGCTTCTACTAACTTAATTAGATTTTGGATTATGCAAGGCTTCTAGGAAAGGCACTTAAAATGTGAAGGACTTTTTTAGAGTGTAAACTTTTTGGAGTATCCTACCATATGCAAGTATGCTGCCCAGCAGAACGGGGCCAAGTCCTTATCTGGGGCCTCTGAACATTACCAGTGCACAAATAATGAATGAAACTAATAAATAAAAATAAAGCATAGGCCAGCGAGTCTCAAAACTGTGGATCAGGAACCCAAAGTAGGCCATGAACCTGTTTTAATGGGATCGCAAGGATTGGCATTAAACTCACTGGGTTTGGGGCTAAAACCTGAGCCCCACTGCCCTGGAATGGATTGGCCCTCCTTCCCTGCCTGGGGAAATAGGGCTCAGGCTTCAGCCCATCCTCCCTCCACAGTTGTGTAGTAATTTTTGTTATCAGAAAGGTTGCAGTGCAATGAAGTTTGAGACCCCCTGGAATAACCTGACCTTTTCTCATGAGAAAATAATTGTCTTTATTTTCGGCTTGCTGGTTGCACTCTTAACTCTCTTATTTTATTTGAGACTGTTCTAAGTGAACTAATTGCTCTTGTTATATCACACGTTAATTGACATTACCAAGAGCATACAAAATGGACATCCCAAATCCTTATCTATGCACCTAAGTCACATCCTTGATTCTGCAGTTGCCTTCATGTGCATGGGGCCCTGCATAGCACAGAACTCCATTGACTTAAGTGGGGGCAGAGGCCTGCTTGACAAGTGGCAAGATCATGGCTTACGTGACCTGCTTTTCAAAAGTTTGGAGCACTCTGCCACTACAGCGGACTTTAACGAGAGCGGCTGGATATGCAGCATGCTTGGCAATCAGGCCATTTTTGCGGGAGGGCCTAACTATGAACATGGTCTAAAATTAGGCTTCCATTTTTTAAAATCTTGGCCATTCCATATTAAGGTTAATGACTGCAGTGTTTTCCTTTCCCTAGCACTTTTGCATTCTTAACACAGTGGATAATTCTGCCAGAGAAAATTGAGATATGGAGTGGAATGAAAGGAGAATGACTGAGCAGTCTGTGTGCAGCAAGCTCAGGAAAGTATTATGGCATAATGCAGAACAATCCCAACTTCCTGGAAAAAACCTGAACAAGCTAACAGAAGATGCATAACTTAGAACTAATAATTTTCTATGTAGATGGTTTGCATAGCTATGATAAAAGGGAGTATTACACATAAAAAAGAAGGTAAAAGAAATTCTACATGACTAATAGAAAATATTCCAAAGACATATTACCAAGTAATGGAGGACAATCAAAACAATTCACATACTGAAAAAGGATTTCGATTTAATTCCACAGGAATAGCAGGAGGTATTGAAATAAAATGCAGGCAAAGAAGGCTTAATATTGGCTTTAATGTGTAATATTCAAGGGCAGAAAAATAGCAATCACCAGTATTTACATATCTAATGTAGATAATTCTGGATTCTCTGATGAACTACCTGGGCAACCAGCAACCCTGGTTAATAACAGGCAGTAATTTCAGTCTGCTAATCGAGCTCCTCATAGTCAAATCAATATCAAGTATTTTTAATGCTTAGCTGAGCAAAATAGTCTGACACACAGATGTGTATATATTGTAATGTTCCTTGACATCTGGAAGTTATAATTTCCAAGTTGTTACATCAGGGATGGATTTGACCCCTTAAGAGGATACTGCAGTGCTCAGAGGAGGTATAGTCCATCTTAAAGATTGGGTACTACTAATTAAAGGAGAAGGGCTGGTGAAAAGATATCCATTAAAACTGTTTTTGAAAGAAAATTGGATTTTGACTAAATTAATACTTTGTAAACAGTCTCTACTTTCTATGGAAAATTTTGACTTTTCATCTAAAGCCCAACCATCCAATACCGGAAACATTTAGGTACAGAAATGCCAGTATTGTGGCTCATGGGAGTTACAGTTTGGGGTGCCTGCTCTCTCTGTTTCCAGGCCAGACTGATTAACTATGCCCAGAATCTCCCGTGATGCTGAGCCACCCCAGTACAAGAGGAAAGGTTGCAGTACTCAACGGATAAAAATCCAGCCAAGGAACCTAGCCCATAGGGCAATAGGAGTATAAAGCACCTAAACCTCAGCCATCCTGAGTCAACAGGCTGGTATTTCTGATAGAGCTGTCAAGTGATTAAAAACCTCACAATTAATCACGCAATTAAAAAAATTAATCAATTGCACAATTTGAAAAAATAATTGTGATTAATCATGCTGTTAAACAATAGAATACCACTTATTTAAATATTTTTGGTGTTTTCTACATTTTCAAATACTGTATATTTATTCCAATTACAATACAAAACAGAAAGGCGTTGTCTACTCTGTGGCTTTTGCTGCAAGAGCCTATGCAAATAAGGCACAGATTAGCATATCACCATGCTTCATTTGCATAATTTATTCAAGCCATTTTTGTGCTAGGAGTTTTTGCGCAAAAACAAGCAGTGTGGATGTTTTTCACAAAGCCAAAGTGTATTATGCTCACTTTATATGTATTTTATTACAAATATTTGTGCTGTACAATGCAAAAGAAATCGTATTTTTCAATTCACCTCACACAAATATTGAAGTGCAATCTTTTTATTATGAATGTTGAACTTACAAATACAGAATTAGAAACAAAAAACTACATTCAAAAACAAACCAATGTAACCCTTTAATGCCTACAGCTCCACTCAGTCCTACTTCTTATTCATCCAATTTTCTCAGGCAAACAAGTTTGGTTACGATTGCAGGACATAATGTTGCCAGCTTCTTGTTTACAGTGTTACCTGAAAGTGAAAACAGGTGTTCACGTGGCACTGTTGTAGCTGGCATTGCAAGATATTTATGTGGCAAAGGTGCTAAAGATTCATATGTCCCTTCATATTTCAACCACCATTCCAGAGGACATGTGTCCATACTGATGACCTAATGATCCAAAGCAGTCCAGACTGACACATGTTCACTTGCATCATCTGAGTCAGCTGCCACCAAGAGAAGGTGGATTTTCTTTTCAGTGATTCAGGTTCTGTAGTTTCTGCATTACAGTGTTGTACTTTTAAGACATCTGAAAGCATGCTCCACACTTTCAGATTTTGGAAGGCTTTTCAGATTCCTAAACCTTGGGCCAAGTGCTGTAACACTTTGGGAATCTCACATTGGTACCTTCTTTGCCCTTTGTCAAATATGCAGTGAAAGTTTTCTTAAAATGAACATGTGTTGGGTCATCATCTGAGACTGCTATAAAATAAAGTATATGGCAGAATATGGGTAAAACTAAGCAGGAGCCACACAATTCCCCCCCAAAGAGTTCAGTCACAAATTCAATTAATGTGTTTTTTCTAACTAGCATCATCAGCATAGACACACGTCTTCTGGGATCATGGCAGATACATATGCTGACCATCCATCCCGGAAAATCCAGGACAGTCCCGATTTTTAATCTCCGGTCCCAGTGTTCCCATGAAGCATTTAAATGCCCCCAAAAGTCCTGAGACTCCAAACCCAACTGCATGTGGCTGTTTCTCTCCCCTCCCCCTTTGCTAGGAGAATAGGAGACACAGACACTTCCTGTTCAATAGGAGCAGCCAGAGGCGGTGCCTGTTGAAAGGCAAGAAAGCAAGTGATTTGCGAGGGAGTAGGCATCGGGAACCGGGGCGCAGGGCTCAGCTGGGCTGCAGGGGATTCTCTGGGAACCAGGATGGGGCTCAGCTGGGCTGCGGGGCATGGACAGGAAACAAACAGGCAGCTCAGCTGGGCTGCGAGGGAGGGGTACAGAGACCCATTGAGTTGTGGAGAATTGAGGGAGGTGTAAGGAACTGGTTCAGGGCTCAGATGAGCTGTGGGGGAGGGGGTGCCAGGAAGCCCAGTGGGGGAGCATCAGGAGAGGGCCTGAAATGACCTCCCCTGGTCTGGAAAAATCCCTCATCTGGGACCAGTCAGGTCCCATGAGTGCGGGACTAGGGAGGTCCAACCCCTACCCCAAGTCCCTTCCTGCACCTTCCCTCCTGACCAAACACCCTATCCTCAGTCCACTACTGCACCCTCCCTCCTGGACAGACACCCCATCCCCAATCTGCTCCTGCATTCACCATTGCTCCTGCACCCTCCCTCCTGGCCACACACAGCACCCTCCCTTGCTCCTGCTTCCTCCCCCTGGCCAGACATCCGACTCCCAGCCTGCTTCTGCACCCTAACTCCCACCCAGACTTTGCAACCACTTTCCCTTCTGCACCTCACTTCTCTCCTAGATCTTGAACCCCATCCCTAGCCCACTTACTGACAGCTCTATCCCACACTCTGAACCCCTCATTTTTGTCCCCACTTCAGAACTTAAGGGGGTCCATACATTCACTAGAAAAGCCCTGAACCTCAATCTTCCCTGTCCCTTTATTATAATAAAATAATAATATAAAATGAGCACTGTACACTTTGTATTCTGTGTTGTAATTGAAATTAATAGATTTGAAAATGTAGAAACAAAGTTTGTAAACTGCTGAAATACAAGGTTAGCTTATGAAAGGGTCAGCGTGTTTTGCCATTTTTACCTATTCATCTTGGGGGGTTGGCTTATAAACTAATTGGCTAATGAACTAATATATATATGCTGTTAGCACCATTTTAGAACAGAGAACATATTAGAGCAAAATCCAGTATTTTTGCTCTATCTAAAGTCAGTTATGCCAGTCTTTCCTATAATAAATGAGGGCTTAAAAGAAGTCCTAAAAAACTAGGCTCAGAATGCATAGAAATCTGCAGGGCAGAGAGGATTCTCCAATGGTTGGTCTCCCACTGCCCATATCAAAAGAGATATGAGGATTGTTAGCTTTCCAGGAGCCCATGAATATCACTTCAGAAGAATTCCACAGGATAATTGCTGTATGGATCAGGACTTGGCACAGTTTCTTTCCCAGTGAAACAATTTGCACTCCATAAATGCCATGTCCAAGCAAGTCCATGTCCTCAAAGGGAAAGATTTACAAAGAAGTTCTATGAAATCAACTTTGCATTGCTTGCCTGGTTCTACAGCCCTTACTCATTAGCTTCTGCAGGGCTAGGCCAATCTGGCCTATAGTTAAACTCCATAAGGGCCTTAAAAGCATTATGAAATATATTCAGAATCCTATGGTGCAAAATACATTAGATTATTTCAAAGACAGGACAATCTGATTCTCTGGGGAAGAGCAAATGTAATTAAAATTATTTCTACTCCAGAAATTCACTTCTCATTACAAATATTGCCACTGAGTATTCCCAGTGCAATTTTTATTCAAAGTTAGAGAGAGGTATCAGTCTTCCTGGAACTGTGTTATCTTGAATAAGATACTATATGCACTGTATTGAAAATTAGATGTTACATTGGATCAGATTACTTTCAATCTTTCTCAAATTTATACACTCTGGGTGATAAATCTTGATCAGTGCTAAGGCAAAGATGGAAAAAAGAGATCACGTGACTTTGGAGCCTAATTATAGGATTTTAAATCCTGTTATTAGACACTTGTGGAAAATATGAAATAGTTTCTCAAATGCAAAGAATTGTATATGTTAATGTGATGTACACTATAGAAAATTCTCAGGATTGAAATGGGAATACATAGTTGCACAGAATCATACAAATTAGCTGAAGGAGACTTATCAGATCATCTTGTTCATTCTCTTTATAAGGTATTTTCCATTGCTTTGCTTTATCATACAATCATAGAACCGGAAGGGACCTCAAGAGGTCGTCAAGTCCAGTCCCCTGCCTTCACAGCAGGACCAAGCAGTGTCTAGATCTACCCTCACAGGTGTTTGTCTAACCTGCTCTTAAATATCACCAGTGATGGAGATTCCACAACCTCCCTAGGCAATTTATTCCAGTGTTTAACCACCCTGGGTATGTCTACACTACCCTCCTAATTCGAACTAGGAGGGTAATGTAGGCATACCGCACTTGCAAATGAAGCCCGGGATTTGAATTTCCCGGGCTTCATTTGCATAAGCCGGGCGCCGCCATTTTTAAATCCCGGCTAGTTCGAAGCCCGTGCCGCGCGGCTACACGCGGCACGGAGTAGCTAGTTCGGATTAGGCTTCCTAATCCGAACTAGCTGTACTCCTCATTCCCCTTGGGTATGCATCATCGGACCTGTGATTCTCACGACAGCTAGGTCTACATTATAGCTTTTTTTCGGAAAAAGCTATGCAAATTGAACTCCGCAATTTGAGTAACTTTTTCTGATTGCTTTTCCGGAAGAGGCTTTTTTGTCTAGATGGGGCCAAATGAAGGAAAAGCCTCCTCTTTTGGAGGAGCTCTTATTCCTTGTAGACCAAGGTTTTCAGGGCTCCCCAAAAGAGCACATTTGCTCTTCCGCAAAAAAAGCAGCGGAGTTTTTTTTCCTCTGGTATCCCGGAAACACCCTGCCGTCTAGACATACCTTGAGCTACAACAAATAGAATTGTTCAGACACAAACATGTGAATGCCTTCTACTATGACAATGCATTCAGCTATTTGAAAGTAATAATTTTGGTCCACACCAAGCATCTGGAGGAGTTTTGTTTGGTTTTTGCTAGGTACTAGAAATAATGTCTTAACCACAACAGACTCGGGGAAAAAAAGAGATTGGAACAGACTGCACTAAGCCACAGGAAAAAAGCTGTAAAGCACTAATTATAGAACAGTTTAAAAATACAGAACTATAACTGAAATAGTTTAAAATACCTTGCTTGTGTGTACTCTGGAAATGTTTAAGATATCAATGAGAGAACTCTCTTTTAAAAAGAAATGTCACTTAGTCAGGGTTCCACCAGGCTTTGATGGCTGATAATTGAAAGAGGGGTTCTTGTCAGTATATTATAAGTACATGGCCCCTACACACAGCTCCTCAACTAACCATGATTCTCAATGGAATAGAGGAGGCAGTTGAGGCTCCCTTTAGGTAGTTCACATAGGGTGAAATTCACCCCCAAGAAACAAGTTTCAGAGGCATAACCTTGTTTCAGCAAAAACAATGAGTCCTGTGGCACCTTAGGCTACACTGCACATTTATTTTGAAATAAGCAATTTCGGAAGATATTTTCTGAAATAGCTTCCTTCGAAATAGCGCATCTACACAGAAAATGTGCATCGAAATAGCGGTTTGCTATTTCAAAATAGAGCGCCCACACTGATTGGATGCTAACTCGCATTTAAGGCCACTAGAAACCACTTCAGGCAGAGCATCAGGTCAGCAGTTACTTTGTGTGGCTGCTGCTTGAGGTTATCTGAGGCTCTTGCTTAAAGGGACTCTCCTGTACAGCAGTGTCTCAGGCTTTTTGCTTTTCCCTACCTCCTCGAGGGACAGTAAAGCCCTTTTTTCTGCCCGTTGTGGTTGCCATTGTGGACACCTCAGCTTGCCAGACATGGAGGCGGAGCTGTCTCTGGGCTATCTATGACTATTGCAGCATGTGCTGCAACTCATACAGCAGTTTCTGCAGGCTGCCTCTCAAGCCCTGCAGGAACTCAATCCCTTGCTCCTCGGGGAGACCTTCCTTGGATCTCTGTGGACACGGCTCATGCAGCTGGATCCCACCCACCCTCCTTTTCACACCATTCCCTGCTGCCTCTGGCATCTGGACACCAATGCAGACTGGTGGGACCGGATCATCATGGAGTGGTAGGGAGACCAGAAATGGCTCCAGAATTTCAGGATGAGGAAGGATACATTTCTGGAGCTCTGTGAGTGACTCGCCCCTGCCCTGAGGTGATGGGACACTCACATAAGACCCACCATCCCCCTCCAGAAGCATGTCACCTTCTTCCTCTGGAAGCTTGCTACGCTGGATAGCTACTGCTCCATTGGGAACCAGTTTGGCATGGGAAGATCAACCATCGGGGCTGTGCTCATGCAGGCATGTTGCTCTCAGGCTATTATTCCAAGGGGGGTTGGACTGCTGGAATGGGGTTCCCTAGAGAAAGGGGTGCTGGTTAAGACCCCTCCCTGGGAGGTTTTTTCAGTCCCGCCCTCACAAAGCCCTGTCAGTGGTTGGGGCGACTCGGGGCAGGGATTGCTCCTGGTAAGGAGAAAGGGGACCAGGAGCGTGGACTGGGGGGAACTCTCAGGTGCCCTGGCACCCCTGTGATTCTCTGCTTGTGTCCTTCTGCAGGTGGTCAGGGCCATCAACACCATCCTGCAGCTCAGAGTCATCCTCCTTGGAGACATGGATGCCATCATCACTGGGTTTGCCAACATGGGCTTCCCCAACTATGGGGTAAGGGGGGCTTCTGACTGAACCCACATCCCCATACAGCCCCCCGACCACTGGACATCTCTGTATATCAACCACAGGGGACACTTTTCAATGGTCCTGCTGGCCATGATGACCACCTGGCCAGTTTACCGACATCCATGTCGGGTGGTCAGGGAAGGTGCATGATATGTATGTTTTGGAACTCTAGCATGATCCAAAAGCTGCATGCTGGAACTTTCTTCCCTGACCGCACTCTGCAGGCCATTACAGATCACTGGGGCCAGTTTATAGACATCTACATTGGGTGGTTGGGGAAGATGCATGATGCCCATATCTTCCACAACTCTAGTGTGTTCCAGCAGCTACACACTGGAACTTTTTTCCCCATCTGCACCATTGGGGTCGGGGACATGCCCATCTGCATAGTAGAGGACATGGCCTGTCCTCTTGGTTTCTGAGGACAGGACAAGGAGTAATGGGCTTAAAGTGCAGCAGGGGAGGTTTAGATTGGACATTAGGAAAAAATTCCTAACTGCCAGGGTGGTCAAATATTGGAATAAATTGCCAAGGGAGGTGGTGGAATCTCCCTCTCTGGAGATATTTAAGAACAGGTTAGATAAACATCTGTCAGGGATGGTGTAGACGGAGCTTGGTCCTGCCTTGAGGGCAGGGGGCTGGACTCAATGACCTCTCGAGGTCCCTTCCAGTCCTATGATTCTATGATTCTCTCTTGCTTTGACTTATGAAGCCATACACCGGCCACCTCAACCCCTCTCAGGAATGCTACAATGGCAGGCTCAGCAGGGCCCGTATGGTGGTGGAGGGTCCAAAGGTGCAGTTCAGATGCCTCCTCACCCAGTTGGACCTTGGGAAGTGCAAAATCCCTCACATGGTGGCTGTGTGTTGTGTGCTCCACAATATTTGTGAGTGGAAGGGGGAGGTATTCC